GAGCTCTGCTGTATACGGGATTATCAGAGGCTAGCATGAGGGGATAATATATAGGTCGCTGTATCTACAGGATGGAGATCAGATGCGGGGGCGGGGCAGGGGCGGGGCAGGGAGGGGGGGGGGGGCATGGTGTTAAACGTGTCTTGCAGATGCTGCCACGATCAGGACCGCAGGAGCTGTTCATTCATCACTTCCTGTTTCCTGGGAGGGCTCACAGATCTGAACACTGCCATTGGTCTCCGGATGACCAATCACAGTGATCTGAAGGTACAGAGCCGCTTGGAATGACTCCATACATAACGGGAGGATTAGAGTGGTGGAGGCACAAGCCTGTGCAGCTCTTCCACAACCCGGAGCAGATGGAGATGGGGGACCCCGATATTAATGAGGTTCTCTCTTCAGAGGCTGTGAAAGGGATCGCACGGAGCCCAGAGAACAGGAGAGCAGGAGCTGCACTACCCCATCTCTCTGCCCGCCCCCGCTCAGCTCAGAGTGGGAGGGAGGAGGCTCAGCTCAGAGGAAGGAGGGAGGAGGCTCAGCTCAGAGTGGGAGGGAGGAGGCTCAGCTCAGAGTGGGAGGGAGGAGGCTCAGCTCAGAGTGGGAGGAGGAGGAGGCTCAGCTCAGAGGAAGGAGGGAGGAGGCTCAGCTCAGAGGAAGGAGGGAGGAGGCTCAGCTCAGAGGAAGGAGGGAGGAGGCTCAGCTCAGAGTGGGAGGGAGGAGGCTCAGCTCAGAGTGGGAGGGAGGAGGCTCAGCTCAGAGGAAGGAGGGAGGAGGGCTCAGGCTCAGAGTGGGAGGGAGGAGGCTCAGCTCAGCTCAGTGGGAGGGAGGAGCTCAGCTCAGCTCAGGAAGGAGGGAGGAGGCTCAGCTCAGAGTGAAGGAGGAGGAGGCTCAGCTCAGCTCAGGAAGTGGGAGGGAGGAGGCTCAGCTCAGAGGAAGGGGAGGGAGGAGGCTCAGCTCAGAGTGGGAGGGAGGAGGGCTCAGCTCAGAGGAAGGAGGGAGGAGGCTCAGCTCAGAGGAGGGAGGGAGGAGGGCTCAGAGTGGGGGGAGGCTCAGCTCAGAGTGGGAGGGAGGAGGCTCAGCTCAGAGTGGGAGGGGAGGAGGCTCAGCTCAGAGTGGGAGGGAGGAGGGGAGGAGGCTCAGCTCAGAGTGGGAGGGAGGAGGCTCAGCTCAGAGGGGAGGGAGGAGGCTCAGCTCAGAGTGGGAGGGAGGAGGCTCAGCTCAGAGGGAGGAGGCTCAGCTCAGAGGGAGGGAGGAGGCTCAGCTCAGAGAGGGGGGGAGGAGGCTCAGCTCAGAGGAAGGAGGGAGGAGGCTCAGCTCAGAGTGGGAGGGGGGAGGCTCAGCTCAGAGTGGGAGGGAGGAGGAGGCTCAGCTCAGAGTGGGAGCTCAGAGTGGGAGGGAGGAGGCTCAGCTCAGAGTGGGGAGGGAGGAGGCTCAGCTCAGAGTGGGGGGGAGGAGGCTCAGCTCAGAGTGGGAGGGAGGAGGCTCAGCTCAGAGTGGGAGGGAGGAGGCTCAGCTCTGGGAGGGGAGGAGGCTCAGCTCAGAGGGGAGGGAGGAGGCTCAGCTCAGAGGGGAGGGAGGAGGCTCAGCTCAGAGGAGGGGGAGGAGGCTCAGCTCAGAGTGGGAGGGAGGAGGCTCAGCTCAGAGTGGGAGGGAGGAGGCTCAGCTCAGAGTGGGAGGGAGGAGGCTCAGCTCAGAGTGGGAGGGAGGAGGCTCAGCTCAGAGTGGGAGGGAGGAGGCTCAGCTCAGAGTGGGAGGGAGGAGGAAAGGCTCAGCTCAGAGTGGGAGGGAGGAGGCTCAGCTCAGAGTGGGAGGGAGGAGGCTCAGCTCAGAGTGGGAGGGAGGAGGCTCAGCTCAGAGTGGGAGGGAGGAGGCTCAGCTCAGAGTGGGAGGGAGGAGGCTCAGCTCAGAGTCAGGAGGCTCAGCTCAGAGTGGGAGGGAGGAGGCTCAGCTCAGAGTGGGAGGGAGGAGGCTCAGGGAGGAGGCTCAGCTCAGAGTGGGAGGGAGGAGGCTCAGCTCAGAGTGGGAGGGAGGAGGCTCAGGAGTGGGAGGAGGCTCAGCTCAGAGTGGGAGGGAAGGGAGAGTGGGAGGGAGGAGGCTCAGCTCAGAGTGGGAGGGAGGAGGCTCAGCTCAGAGGGGAGGGAGGAGGCTCAGCTCAGAGTGGGAGGGAGGAGGCTCAGCTCAGAGGAAGGAGGGAGGAGGCTCAGCTCAGAGTGGGAGGGAGGAGGCTCAGAGTGGGAGGGAGGAGGAGGCTCAGCTCAAGAGTGAGGAGGGAGGAGGGAGGTGGGAGGGAGGAGGCTCAGCTCAGAGTGGGAGGGAGGAGGCTCAGCTCAGAGGGAGGGAGGAGGCTCAGCTCAGGGAGGAGGCTCAGCTCAGAGGGAGGGAGGAGGCTCAGCTCAGAGGAAGGAGGGGAGGAGGCTCAGCTCAGAGAGGGGGGAGGGGAGGAGGCTCAGCTCAGAGTGGGAGGGAGGAGGCTCAGCTCAGAGTGGGAGGGAGGAGGCTCAGCTCAGAGAGTGGGAGGGAGGAGGGGAGGAGGGAGGCTCAGCTCAGAGTGGGAGGGAGGAGGCTCTGCTCAGAGTGGGAGGGAGGAGGCTCAGCTCAGAGTGGGAGGAGGAGGGGGAGTGGGAGGGAGGAGGCTCTGCTCAGGAGTGGGAGGGAGGAGGCTCAGCTCAGAGAGGTGGGGGGGGGGGGAGGAGGCTCAGCTCAGAGTGGGAGGGAGGAGGCTCAGCTCAGAGGAAGGAGGGAGGAGGCTCAGCTCAGAGTGGGAGGGAGGAGGCTCTGCTCATGTACTGCGATCACTGCACGGGCAGGGAGAGGGTTGTGAGCGGTCTACTGACAGCTCTATAAACTCTACAACTCGGCTGAACAACTGAAATCGCTTAGGGGGGAGGTAAAAAATAAAAACCTAAACTGTTCACACCCTTACACTGATCCTCTGGTGACGCCCCTTTTGATGTGATTCCGGCACTCAGTCTTTTTGGGGAGGAGTCTATCAGCACGGCACATCCTGACTCGGCAATACTTGCCCGCTCTTCCATATCTGTCATCTCCTGCGCACAGCCCTCCTCACATCCCCCCACAGATCTTCCATCGAGTTCAGGTCGGGGCTCTGGCTGGGCCATTCCAGAACTTTCCTCCTCTCCTGGTGATCCCATTCCTTTGTGGATTTGGATGGATGATTTGGGTGGTTGTCATGCTGTAAGGTGAAGTTCCTCTCCATGAAGCCGGAAGGTTTGGTGCTGATATTGACCGGGATTTGGACCTGTTCATAATTCCCTCCACCTGGACTAAGGCCCCAGTTCCATCTGAAGGAAAACAGCCCCAAAGTATGACGCTGCCCCCACCATGCTTCACAGTGGGTATGGGGTTCTGGTGATGAGCGGTGTTGGTTTTGCGAGAAAAAAATCTCTTTTGGAATTCTGGCCACAAAGTCCATCCTTGGTGTCACCAGACCAGAACACATTCCCCTCATGCTCCTGGGAGACTTCAGATGTTTCTGCAGAATGTAGCCGGGCTTGGATGGTCTTCTTGGTAAGGAAAGTCTTCCATCTTCTACTCTCCCCCATCGCCCAACATATGAAGAACACGGGGAGATCAGTGTCACATGGACCACACAGCCAGGACTGGCCACATATTCCTGCAGCTTTCATGTTGCTGCTGGGCCTCTTGGCCGCCACCCAGACCAGTCTTCTCGTCTTTTCCTCCATTTTGGAGGGACATCCAGTTCTTGGGGAGGTCACTGTTGGTGAGGTCACTGTTGGTGAGGTCACTGTTGGTGAGGTCACTGTTGGGGAGGTCACTGTTGGGGAGGTCACTGTTGGGGAGGTCCCTGTTGGGGAGGTCCCTGTTGGGGAGGTCCCTGTTGGGGAGGTCACTGTTGGTGATTTCATTGTTGGTGAGGTCACTGTTGGTGAGGTCACTGTTGGGGAGGTCCCTGTTGGGAGGTCCCTGTTGGGGAGGTCACTGTTGGTGAGGTCACTGTTGGTGAGGTCACTGTTGGTGATTTCATTGTTGGTGAGGTCACTGTTGGTGAGGTCACTGTTGGTGAGGTCACTGTTGGTGAGGTCACTGTTGGAGAGGTCACTGTTGGGGAGGTCACTGTTGGGGAGGTCACTGTTGGTGAGGTCATTGTTGGTGAGGTCACGGTTGGTGAGGTCCCTGTTGGGGAGGTCACTGTTGGGGAGGTCACTGTTGCGCCATACTTTCTCCACTTGATGATGACGGTCTTCACTGTCTTCCATGGGATATCTAATGCCTTGGACATTCTTCTGTCCCCGTCTCCTGACTGATACTTTGTAACAATGAGATCCCTCTGATGCTTTGGAAGCTCTCTGTGGAACACGGCTTTTGCTGTAGGATGCGACTAAGAAAATGTCAGGAAAGACATAATAGAACAGCTGCACTTTATTTGGACTCATCAGAGGCACTTTAATTGATGGCGGGTGAGTACTGACTCCTATTTACCGTGCTTGTGGGTGTGATTGCTTCATTCTGAACACAGCGACATCCCCAGTTATAAGAGGGTGTGAACACTTATGCAACCACATTATTTTCGTTTTTTAGGTTTACCTCCCCCCCTAAAAGATCCCAGTTTGTTTGTTGTTCACCTGAGTTGTACAGTTTATGGGTCACATTAAAGGTGGATAAAGTTCTGAAATTATTTATCTTTATCTCATTTTTTTACATCATAGAAACCTGACATTTTACCCGGGGGGTGTGAAGACTTTTTACACCCACTGCATGCTCTTCATTGTAGAAGCAGTGTGAGGAACGTGGTGTGCAGAGAAGGCTTCAGATAGGATGCCTGGCCTGTGTTGGTGTTTCCACATCTGTCATCGAATACGGACTGACGTCATCCTGCAGGCAGAGAGGCCACCTCTGTGTGTCACATAGCAGCCAATAGGAGGACCCCGGGTCAGTCAGATCCATTCCCGGCAACAAATATTTGTTTTCCCAATTTTCCCTAAACTAAAATTTCAATTTTTGTTGGGAAACCCCAAAACCCTGGAAATCGACATACAGTATATACCTTGTAGAACCCCGTGATGTATACGGAGGGATCCCACCTTCTCCTGATACGAGTGGGGGGGGAGGGGGGGTCCGGGGAGAGCGGATATAGTGAATGCGGGGTCCGGGGAGAGGGATACAGTGAATGCGGGGTCCGGGGAGAGCGGATACAGTGAATGCGGGGTACGGGGGGAGCGGATATAGTGAACGCGGGGTCCATGGAGAGCGGATATAGTGAATGCGGGGTCGGGGGGAGAGCAGATACAGTGAATGCGGGGTCCGGGGAGAGCGGATACAGTGAATGCGGGGTCCGGGGAGAGCGGATACAGTGAATGCGGGGTCCGGGGAGAGCGGATACAGTGAATGCGGGGTCCGGGGAGAGCGGATACAGTGAATGCGGGGTCCGGGGAGAGCGGGATACAGTGAATGCGGGGTCCGGGGAGAGCGGATACAGTGAATGCGGGGTCCGGGGAGAGCGGATACAGTGAATGCGGGGTCCGGGGAGAGCGGATACAGTGAATGCGGGGTACAGGGGGGGGGGAGCGGATATAGTGAACGCGGGGTCCATGGAGAGCGGATATAGTGAATGCGGGGTCCGGGGAGAGCAGAAGATACAGTGAATGCGGGGTCCGGGGGGAGAGCGGATATAGTGAACGCGGGGTCCATGGAGAGCGGATATAGTGAATGCGGGGTCCGGGGGGAGAGCGGATATAGTGAATGCGGGGTCCGGGGAGAGCGGATACAGTGAATGCGGGGTCCGGGGAGAGCGGATATAGTGAATGCGAGGCGAGGATCAGTGAATGCGGGGGGAGAGCGGATACAGTGAATGCGGGGTCCGGGGAGAGCGGATATAGTGAATGCGGGGTCTGGGGAGAGCGGATATAGTGAATGCGGGGTCCGGGACTCCGGGGGAGCGGATATAGTGAATGCGGGGTCCCGGGGAGAGCGGATATAGTGAATGTGGGGTCCGGGGGGAGCGGATATAGTGAATGTGGGGTCCGGGGAGAGCGGATATAGTGAATGCGGGGTCCGGGGAGAGCGATATAGTGAATGCGGGGTCCGGGGAGAGGGGGGGGATATAGTGAATGTGGGGTCCGGGGGGGCGGGTACAGTGAATGCGGGGTCCGGGGGGAGCGGATATAGTGAATGCGGGGTCCGGGGGGAGCGGATATAGTGAATGCGGGGTCCGGGGAGGGGGGGGGATACAGTGAATGCGGGGTCCGGGGAGGGCGGGTACAGTGAATGCGGGGTCCGGGGGGAGGGGATACAGTGAATGCAGGGTCTATCACAGCGGGGTCCGGGGGAGTGGGATACAGTGAATGCGGGGTCTATCACAGCGGGGTCCGGGGGGGGTGTGAAGCTGAACCCTCCGTAGCGGGGTCTATCACAGCGGGGTGGGGGGGGGGGGGGGTGTGAACCCTCCGTAGCGGGGTCTATCACAGCGGGGTCCGGGGGGGTGTGAAGCCTCCGTAGCGGGGTCTATCACAGCGGGGTCCGGGGGGGGTACCCAGTGAATGCGGGGATCTATCACAGCGGGGTCCGGGGGGGGTGTGAACCCTCCGTAGCGGGGATCTATCACAGCGGGGTCCGGGGGGGGTGTGAACCCTCCGTAGCGGGGTCTATCACAGCGGGGTCCAGGGGGGTGTGAACCCTCCGTAGCGGGGTCTTACGTACCGAAGCCAGGGACGGACTTGAGGCCGGACTTGAGGCAGATCTTCTCCAGCCGGAGGTAGCTGTATCTCAGGAGGCAGTTCCACAGGAACATCCAGTCCAGCCGGGTGCGATGGTTCATGATGATGACGCTGCGTTCTCCAGGAATGAACCCATCCCCCGTGATGACTACTTTAGCGCGGAACACCAACTCCAACAAAGCCTGGCGGGAGAAGGCGGGGCTTATCAGTAAGGAAATATCACTGAATCTGACCATAGACGGGGCAATAAATGAAAGGGGTACCAGGGGCATCTCAGGGGGGCCCCTACTGACCCCGGGCCCTCGAGCAGTGCCTGAGTTTCCAAATGGTCAGTCCGCCCCTGCAAGGGGGCAATAATCAGTAACAGCCTGACGGTACACGGGGCAATTCAACCAATCCCAATCTAATCCCATTCTTCAGACACGCCTTCCCTTCACCCGCCAGTGTACTGGCTCCTCCCCCCTTCATCCTCCAGGTGTACCGGCTCCTCCCCTTCAGTCTGGCACAGGTGTTCCGGCTCCTCCCCTTTCTTGCACAGTCTGGCACAGGTTTCCGGCTCCTCCCCTTCAGTCTGGCACAGGTGTACTGGCCCCTCCCCTTCAGTCTTGCACAGGTGTTCCGGCTCCTCCCCTTCAGTCTGGCACAGGTGTTCCGGTCCAGGTGTACCGGCTCCTCCCCTTCAGTCTGGCACAGGTGTTCCGGCTCCTCCCCTTCCGGCTCCTCCCCTTCAGTCTGGCACAGGTGTTCCGGCTCCTTCCCTTCAGTCTGGCACAGTGTTGCACCTTCAGTCTGGAGGTGGACTGACCCTTCAGTCTTGTACAGTATTTGGGCACTGCCTGAGGGCCCCCCGGGGTCAGTGCACAGGGGGCTCCTTCCCCATGAGATGCCCCTCCTCCCCTTTAATTGGCCCTTTTTTCCGGGTGTCTGGGGGAGGACACAGGGGCCCCAGGTGTACCGGCTCCCCTATCTGCCAGGTGGGCCCCATGAGCTCCTCCCCTTGTCAGTCCTCCCCTTCAGTCTGCACAGGTGTACTGGCTCCTCCCCTGGACTGGAAAGGTACCGGCTTCCCTGTGATGTCCCCACTGCACAGGGGGAAACGTATTGGGGCTCCTCCCCTTCAGTCTGCAGGCTGTTATCCCCTTAGTCTGAGCACAGGTGTACCGACTCCCCTTCAGTCTGGCACAGGTGTACCGTCCCCCTCAAGGTGTACCGGATCAGTTGGCACAGGTGACAGCTCCTCCCCTCACGCATGGTGTACCCAGATGGAGAATTCGAGTATTTGATGTAGGGCCCGCTTCTTAATGATGATGAGATTGGTCATTACTTTTTTGGGGTGGGGTCAGTAGGGGCCCCATGATCCCCTATTGCCCGGGGGCCCCGTGAGTTGTCAGTCGGCCCTGGTCAAAGCCTCCACAGTGCAATATTATCACTTTGTTAGAATGAAATATCGGCAGAAAACAACGAGCTCTACACCACCAATCTGGGTGTTCAAAGATGGCGGCTGCCGGACACAAGGGGCGTTGGGCGACTTTCATTCTAACAATCTGTTTATGGCCCCACATGACACCCCGGCACCAACCTACGCATGGAGGCACAAGAGGGAGTGAAGGGGGTACCAGCAGGATCCACGGGGACCCAAAAGGTATTGTGGCCCCTGGGGTGGTCGCAGGGGAAGGTGAGCACACATGCCTGCTGGTTTGGATTCTCACGTTTTCACCAAACAAACGAGCAACATTACAGCAATTACAACGGTTTTTATGGACAATTCACGATAACGTCTCATCTTGTATGGGAGTATAGATCCCTCTATAGGGGTCACCGAGGTCCAACCAATCCCTGATGGGAAGAAAAGCAACACCACCTGCACAGGATCCACCGAACCTCGGATAGCACTTGTGCTTCACCCAATCAGACCCAATCAGATCCAAACAGACCCAATCAATCAGACCCAATCATCCAATCAGACCCAATCAATCAGACCCAATCAGATAACCAGATCAATCAGACCCAATCAGACCCAATCAGACCCAATCAGACCCAATCAGATCAAACCAGACCCAATCAGACCCAATCAGATCAAATCAGATCCAATCAGACCCAATCAGACCCAATCAGATCCAATCAGACCCAATCAGACCCAATCAGACCCAACCAGACCCAATCAGATCCAATCAATCAGACCCAATCAATCCAAATCAGACCCAATCAGATCCAATCAGACCCAATCAGATCCAATCAGACCCAATCAGACCCAATCAGATCCAATCAGACCCAATCAGACCCAATCAGACCAATCAGATCCAAATCAGACCCAATCAGACCCAATCAGATCCAATCAATCAGACCCAACAGATCCAATCAGACCCAATCTGAATCAGATCCAACCAGATCCAATTGATTGGGTCTGATCAATTGGACCCAATCAGATTGATTCAGTCTGATTGATTGGGTCTGATTGATTCATTGACCCAATCAATCAGACCCAATCAGATTTCAGACCCAATCAGATCCAATCAGATCCAATCAGACCCAATCAATCAGACCCAATCAGATCCAATCAGATCCAATCAGATTCAATCAGATCCAATCAATCAGTTTCCAATCAGACCCAATCAATCAGACCCAATCAGATCCAATCAATCAGACCCCAATCAGATCCAATCAGACCCAATCAGACCCAATCAGACCCAATCAGACCCAATCAGACCCAATCAGATCCAATCAGACCCAATCAGACCCAATCAGACCCAATCAGACCCAATCAGACCCTATCAGACCCAATCAGTTTCAATCAGACCCAATCAGATCCAATCAGACCCAATAAATCAGACCCAATCAGATCAATCAGACCCAATCAGATCCAATCAGACCCAATCAGACCCAATCAGACCCAATCAATCAGACCCAATCAGATTCAATCAGATCCAATCAGATCCAATCAGACCCAATCAGATCTCATCCATTATATTTACTGTATAAATTTCCAATCAGGACCAATATCATCATCAAGCAATTGATCCAAGTGTCAATACTGACCCAATCAATGGACCCAATCAGACCCAGTCAGATAGATCAATCGACCCAATCATCAGACCCAATCAATCAGACCCAATCCAGCAATCAATCAGACCCACTTTCCTCCCCAATCAATCGGACCCAATCAGTCACATTATATTTTTGTATAGATGTCATGCCTTGCCCCCTTTCCTCCCATCAACCTATCTCTGGTCCCCACTTCCCTTCAGATCCTCCGCCTCATTTTCTGGCTCTGGACATCCAGCATCATCCACTTTCCTCCCCAGATGACTGTCCTCTGCCCCCACCCCTTTCCTCCCCAGTCTCTCTCTGGCCCCACCCCTTTCTTCCCCAGTCTCTCTCTGGCCCCACCCCTTTCCTCCCCAGTCTCTCTGGCCCCACCCCTTTCCTCCCCAGTCTCTCTGGCCCCACCCCTTTCCTCCCCAGCTGGACTGTCCCTGGTCCCTCCCCTTTCATTCATTGGATGTCAGTTTTCAATCATGGAGGCTCAGCATCACATGTGGGCGTTGCCTATGCAAATACAGTCTGCCTAGGAACACCCACTCCTCCATACTGACACCCACCCATCAAGGGCTTTGATATTTGCATAACTCCTCCCACTGCTTGTATGAGGGCGTCCTGCAAACCCCTCACAGACCCGGATGTCTGATGCAAGTAGTGGGCGGGGTCATGGGCGGAGTTATGCAAATACAAAGCATTCGAGTTTCCCAGACTGAACAGGAGGAAGTCTCACCACAGGGAGGGTCAGCCATGTGGCCACAATCCGGTCCGTCAGCCACCGATACCAGCTGGGTGACACCAACATCAGAGGCAGGAAGGGGCCCAACATGAAGATACTGCCGAAGAAGCTTCCCAGGAACAGAGCGCACACAAAGTAAATCCCCCTCCATGACACCATGGCTCTGCAAGAGAAGAACACACAGCGGGGGGGCGTCATTGGGTGTGTCACATGACCGGCCTCCATGACACCATGGATCTACAACATGGGGGGGGCAGTTATTGGGTGTGTCACATGACCGGCCTCCATGACACCATGGATCTACAACATGGGGGGGGCAGTTATTGGATGTGTCACATGACCGGCCTCCATGACACCATGGATCTACAACATGGCAGGCAGTTATTGGATGTGTCACATGACCGGCCTCCATGACACCATGGATCTACAACATGGGGGCAGTTATTGGGTGTGTCACATGACCGGCCTGCATGACACCATGGATCTACAACATGGGGGCAGTTATTGAGTGTGTCACATGACCGGCCTCCATGACACCATGGATCTACAACATGGGGGCAGTTATTGGGTGTGTCACATGACCGGCCTCCATGACACCATGGATCTACAACATGGGGGGGCAGTTATTGGATGTGTCACATGACCGGCCTCCATGACACCATGGATCTACAACATGGGGGCGGTTATTGGATGTGTCACATGACCGGCCTCCATGACACCATGGATCTACAACATGGGGGCGGCAATTATTGGGTGTGTCACATGACCGGCCTCCATGACACCATGGATCTACAACATGGGGGGGGCAATTATTGGATGTGTCACATGACCGGCCTCCATGACACCATGGATCTACAACATGGGGGGCAGTTATGGGTGTGTCACATGACTGCCCTCCATGACACCATGGATCTACAACATGGGGGCAGTTATTGGATGTGTCACATGACCGGCCTCCATGACACCATGGATCTACAACATGGGGGGCAGTTATTGGATGTGTGTCACATGACCGCCCTCCATGACACCATGGATCTACAACATGGGGGGGTTATTGGATGTGTCACATGACCGGCCTC